CATATAAATATATATTACAATACAATTTGCACCAAACAACTACCAATAAATTGTCTACTTAATTTACTATAGAATATTTGAAATTTAAGTTTAATAAAATGCAATAGAAAGTTAATATAATAGAGATATTTTGACTAGTTGAAATAATTTTTCATTTTATCGCGAATGTTTTTCTAGCTATTTGTACTCTACGAGAAGTATTCGTAACGAACTTCTTGTTACAGGCAAGTGAAAAATATTCGCAACTGTGGAAGATTGTTGGGACTACAAAATAATGAGATCAAGTACTTATTAAACAATATGTAGTTATTGAATTTGACTGATAGACACAGGAAGATTTTGAAGAAAAATGTTTAATCCCTTTTTTTAACTACGAATATGATTCTATTCTCGCAAGAATTCACAGACTGTGTCTTAGAACAGCACGATTTCTTATTGCAATACGTATCCATTATTTTATTCACTTCACGCGTGTACATGTACGCTTGCCATTTGCGTTGCAAGCAACGTCGCTCGGCTCCAACTTCATCGTTACCATCGTCGTCATTGTCGTCATTCGAAATACGTTACTTTGTCGTAAAGTTTTCGAGGCAGCTTGCCTCGGTATAACCAGGGTTCCAGGTCGGCGAGAGGATGCTCGTTGGTACCGCAGTTCCGAATATTTCGACGTACGATCGTTGCCTCTTTTTCGCCGAGCGAAACTTTCTCGAGGAAGTTTGAGAAAAGCTTGGTCGGGCTTTCGTCGAACGGGCGAAAAGGTTGCCTGTGGAAATTGAGCGCGAGGCAACGTGCGAAGACGATACGCGCGTTATGCATAATACACGTATATATTTATTCATATAAATAGATTGCTGCGGGACGTGTGTGTGTGTGTGTGTGTGTTTCGCTGGGAACGCGTAATGCCCATAAAATACATGGTTTAATCAGCCGTCCTAGGCGTTTTGCTTCTCTCTGCTACCTAACTTAACGAAAGCTACGTCTGGGATACGAGCGCGTTCTAAACGCTTGACGTTTGTCTTTTCGGTTTATCCGGCTGGATCGATACGTGTGTGGATCTTCGCGCTACATGCTGGATACATGGGCCGACGAACTGACGTGGAACGGGTTGCCTAGACGAAACATTAGAGATGGAATCTTAGAGTATCTCATAAATTGGTAACTTCGAATCTTTGGTCGTTGGATTCGAACTTTCTTTCTAATTCTAATAATGGTATATACTTCCGAGTATAGTTGAATCTAACAATAAGGAAGACAGTTGACAATTTGTTTCATCAAATACTTTTATAAATGGAAATAATCTACACTTATTCGCGATAGATTGTGAATCTGCAAAGGACTTATTTTTTTTAAATAAATAAATAAGAATTTATTTATTGTAGGGGATAATAGATTGATTGATTTATTATTTACGTATAGAAAACAACGAGTATTATAGTATTTGATGATGTAATAAAGTAATGATGTTATATTACAATAAAAAAATATACCTGAGACTACTACGGTAGTAGAAGCTTTAAAATATATTTGTGCAAGAATAATATTCTTAATTAGTAACGTCCACGTGTATTAAATTAACAATTTTGCATTATAATGAAAAAATATATACATATGTAGTAGAATTCGCTATTGTCTGCTAATTTCCGAGTGTTACAGGTGAACGATTTTTAGCGTGACTGAAATTTAGTCGACTGGACGAAGCATTTTTCTATACATGATAGTCAAACGTCACTTCAGATGTTTTCAAATCTGACAAATGCTCGTTCTAGGGTTGAAAGCCGACTTGTACAAAATGCATACACCGTAAATGTACTTACTGAAACATTTTTACTCTCGAGTAACACATAGCATTCGAGACCTACGAAACGAAACTTGGATATCGAACTTGACTCGAATTCGCAAGTAAATAACATACATATTGCACTTGATCCCACCCCCTCGAAAACACGGTTATTGCAACTTATCGAGTCGCAACTCGTAAAAAGGTTCATGGCGTTTTATTGGCGTGCTGCTATGTGCGAATCTCGCACCAGCTTCCGCGAATAGATAGTATACGAAGCACTTGCGAGTCTCGAAAGACGTTCGAGGAATATATGAGCGCGCGGTTGAGTGACAAGATAGTTCTCGGCACCGGGCGTAAAAGTTCTCGTAAATGGATCGAATCTGGCACGATCACGATTCCAGACGCAGAGGGAAGTTGCGTTGAAAAAGATCGATCCTCTCGATAAATCCTGGACGCTTTCTGACGAACGTTTGTAGAAACTTTTTTTATGAATATATCGTGTGTCTTATGTAAAATATTTTGACATTTCATCAAACTACACCAAATTCATAATTATATTGGCCAAGTTTGAAATAAACTCAAGAATATGTGTATAAATATTACAAAATAGAAAATAACTTCAGTAGTATGTAAACGATATAGATTTATTTCGTAGAAATCGCAAAAGTATTTACACAATTAATTATTCATTTTCGATATGCTTAAAATGGCCATTCATGTTAACTTTGGCTAACTTTTTGTTAAATATATTTTCAGATTAATTTCAAGATTTACCAATACGTATAATCGTAATAGTATTAATGAAATTTCAAAATATTTTGCACAACATTTATAATATTATATGCAAAAGTTTCTTCATGGTTAATGTTCGAATACTTCCATGAGCTACCATAAAATACGGGAGTAATGATGCAATGTTACAATGTCACAATCCAAACGAAAGATGGAAGATATAAGACCCCTGTTTACAAAACGTTCTTCCTTCCTTTTGGTTTCACGCGCGAAATTGACAAGTGACAGACGTATACACACACATTGTTCTTTCGAAACAC